TCTTTTATTTCTCTTTCTCCCTCTCTCACTCTCTCTCACTCTCTCTCTCTCTCTCTCTCTCTCTCTCTCACTCACTCTCTCTATCTATCTCTCTCTTCTAACCTGTAAAATTGTGTTTTCTAGGCTTAATACATTTTACAATTTTCTTCATATAAACTGCACACAAGGTGAGAGATCAGACGTGTTTTACTCCTTCTTTCCCATCAAAAATAATATATCATGCTTATCTCTCGTCCTTCTTATTGTTTTTTGTTTTTTTGTATTTGTAAATCTTGTGAAACAATTCTAATCTTCGGCATTGATGTTACCGTTTTCTATTGCAAGCGCCGCGAAACACTTACTTAAACCAAAACAAAAGCAAAAACAAAAGCAAAAACAAAAGCAAACACGGATTAGTTTTTGTCTTACTAAGAGCTCTATCCAAGAAGAAGTCAACAAAAATCCGCAGGTCTCTTAAATTAAGAGCTGAGCAACGCGTTTGTCAGAAGGTATTAAAACAGAGAGACGGTGGCATCGCATTACGTCATTACAACTGTACACATCATGCACACTACATTATAATTTTATACCGAAGTTACTGCGTGATCGTGGTATTTATTAGCTACCTTAAACTTACAACGTTCTATTTGACATTTTCGGCCGTCTTAAGTTACAAAGACCATGAGGTCTGAAACCAAATGCTCTGTCTGCTCTATCAAAATCGTAAGATTATTCGAAGTCGCTACCAAGATATTCAAAGCATTGCGTTAAAAAAACGCTTTATATATTGTGAAATTTAAAAAATTTGACGTCAAATTTCTCAAAACGTGTTACTGAGCAGAAAGAACTGTGTACCCCTAAGGTAGCGTTATGAGTCTGGTGATTCATATTTAAAAGTGATCATCACTTCCATCCTCCAAATCGTTTTCACGTTATCTTACATACCCATACGTTATGAGGATAAAGGATGGGACAGGTAAATGACCTTATTTAATATTCTAAAATAAATCTTACTATAGACGGTAAAAGTGTGTTGGATTCAAGGCGTAAACGTTTTGTTTTCTTTTGTATAATAAAGAATGATATTTACAATACGATAATAATATTGATGTATATATGACATTTCAGATAATAATGTAACATAATTTGAGAAAAAAAGAACATGCAATTGAGATATCTGCTCTATCTTGACTCTCTCACTTTCCACCTCCCTTTCTCTCCCTCCCTCTCTCTCTCTCTCTCTCTCTCTCTCTCTCTCT